TAGGCGACAATCGAACCACCAACTCACACACCCACTGCTGATATACACAGTTACACACGCACGTGTGTCCGAACCGAAGAAAAACTGATTACAGTAGCCAACTTCACGCCCACTTGATCAGGCAAATAGCTATAAAAGTTATTTCTGAGCGCTTCTCACCCCATCTGTCCATTTTGGTTCGATGCACGTTAACTCCATGCCACTGCTTCACAAGTTTATCTTGCTTCCCGTGTGGTTTTTCACCTTTGTGAATGATTAACTAGTTCGCTAAAAGTGAAAGTGTGTGTGTGTGTGTGTGTGTGTATGTGTGTGTGTGCGTAAAGTTAAACCAAGAAAGTGGTCGGTTGTGAAGGTCATTTTCCGCTGGTTCATTTCTTTACTGCTCGATATACTAGACATTTTTCTATTGGCTGTTTGTGGAGGAAGGGGGATGTTTCACGAGTTGGATAGTAAGCCTCGAAAGAGGAACGGCATCTGTTTGATAGGGATGCATGGTGATTTAGTTGGTTCCATCTGCTGCTGCTTCTCATGATCCATCGAAATTTTTCCCCGTTTGTCAATCTTAGCCATTTGTTTGGTTGCAAACGTTCCATAACCAGCCGAGTTGTGATCTTCACTGCTTGCGAAGTGAAGATGTCACCTCGGCTATTATTAAAATTGCCATGCTCAGTGAATAGGTGAAAATGAACTCAGTCTATTGAATCTACGAGAACCCGTATTTTAATACGTCGCCAGTATGTTGATTCACGGATTCGGCCGTCAGTGGTATCATTTTCACTTCAATTTTTTACTTCTTTTAATGGAATATACGAAGATACCATCTTCAGCAATGAAGGGAGAGGAGGGGGGGGGGGTCGGTCAATCAAACGACTGACATACAACCCATAGAATGGGGAAAATCAGGCTTTTATTAGTGATATTCGAACACCCGTCCTACGGGGTAATTATTTGGTGACGCTACCACCGGGTCACCACCGTCTATCATATCTATGTACCAGAAACGGTATTTGGTAAGATTAAAAAGGATATGCATTGCCTCAATCTCTCCCGAAAAATTATTCTTACTCTAGATTTTTCTCTTTCGAAATGTTGTTAAGAATCTGTACTAATTGGGAGGGCGTGTGGGACCAGTAAGAATGAATTGAACTTTCTATCCTGTTTTTCGTTTTCCGTGAGATGTTTTCCTTCAGTTCACCCCTGCTCACTCCCACCCGCTAAAAAAAATAATATCTCTGCATTTCCCATCGGTTATTAAATTCGACCTGGTAACAGAATACATTGCTCGTCCGTACTCGTTGAATGCTTGGTTAATTTGAAGCGATTCCTTGAGTAGTTTTGGGGTAAAACATCCGAACAAGAGGATTGTAAGAATAAATGCTAAGACTTTTCGTTGTGGCATACTCTCTGATGTCTCTCTTGGAGAGGAAATTGCGTAGATCAGTTACGGGTAAACCCATGATTGTTTCAGGGAGAAGCAAATATCCAGAACGAAATATCCTTGAGATATTGTCAAGCGTTGGGAATTGCTTGGGAAAGTTTTATGTTGAGGAGAATTATTACTATGTCCATTTACCGTTGTGGGGGAAGCAATACAAAACCAAATATGACAACCCAGATGCCTTGTGTGTAGCCATTTTTGATCACTTTGTGTCAAATGTTTTTTGCTTTCTATCGTTCGAACTTCCGGCAAGCCATCATACACTTGCGACACACCGGTAACGTCGCTAACCCACTAAGGTTTCATCGGTGATGAATAGCAACCTCACTGCCTCTCCCCACGTTTCCTGAATAATGCGTGTGTCACCACTGTAGTAATCAACTCACATCGGGGAAGTTCAGAATGATCAACAACAACAGTTAAGAAACATCACAGGTCTCTTTAAGTTTTTAACCACAGATTCCGTTTCAAGTCAACACCTAACCTTGCAATCGCGGAACAACTTCCTTAGTTCGTGTGATCATTGGCGATTTCTGACCACTTTGTAAACTATACCTTCACCACGATGAACAGATTACGTTTATTTCCACGCCATTTCACTGGTGTGTGTTAAAATCTATTACATACCTTGGAAGTGAATGGAAACAAATATGTTCGCAAGTGTCTTCTCAGAAGTATGCTTATTGAAACACTTCCGCCTCAGACACTTTTTAAATGGAGCACGCAAACAGTTGAATT